CGATCATAGGATAAAAACTAGGAAATGCAGTGAGCTGTAGATGTGGTGCAATGTCGTTTCCCTTTACGGACGGCAATAGGGAGGTCAAGGTCATCCGCAGGAGGGGAAGTGGCAACAGTGGAAGGTGTCTCAGTGGGCCCTGGAACTGTACTACCTGGATTTGGAGCCGTAGAAGGAACTGGAGCTGGCATGGACTGCCAATGACTGGGATCAACCTGCCTACATCGCCTGTGATAGACTCTCAACTCTTGATCCCTCTAATCACCCTCACCATTACAGCCTTCATCACCCAATGGAATAGGTAAAGGAACAGCCCCACTCCCACTGCGCTCCCCCTGAGGAAAGAGACCCAAATCCCCACTCTCACTACTCTCCCCCTGAGGAGAAACCCTAGGATAATAGGGTGTCTCCTCAAAGAARGTGACATCCATGGAGACAAACTTCTTCCCTGAAACAAGATCATAGCAGCAATAACCCTTTTGAGTTTGTGCATAACCGAGGAAAATGCATTTGGAGGCCTTAGGTTCAAACTTGGAGTGATGGGGCCCGAGAAGCTGAACAAAATAGGTACAACCAAAGGTTTTAAGGGGAACGGTAAACAACTCCTCGTCTGGACTAGACTCACATGAGAAACCCTAGATAGGCTCTGATACCAAGTAGATGATCAAGACTACAATCAACCTTGAACCCTAATAGATTTCAGATTAGGAAAAGTAGAAGAAAAGCAAGAGAGAGAGAAAAGAGAGGAGAAGAACTGGAGAACACAAAGGTTTGAAAGAAATGACAGATTCTGATAGATCTGTCGCCACCACTCTCTTAGTATTTATAGGTTATGTTCAGTACATAGTGAAAAGGACAAATCTGCCCTCAGTACTTACATGACAAATAAAGCAAATAAAAATTGAAATAAATAACTGAAATAACAAACTGATCACCAACTGATACTACCATGACCGAAACAAATAATTATACATACTGCCCTACGAACACAGTGGGGACCACAGTTGTGGGGCCCACATCGGTGTTCTCTA